GAAACAAACTATACCCTGAGATTAAAATCTTTCATTTACCTGTTATTAACTTGTTTATTTTGCCCCTTTAACTGTAATATTTGGTTACCTACATGAATTTTTCTGTTGACAGACAATATTTCCCTTTGGCTACAGCACATTTATTCAACTTGTTTCATTGTACATCTGTGTGCTTGCTGGACTCCAGCAAAACTAGCACAGCAGTGAAAGCAAAGAAGCTGCTGAGCTCTCCAGGCTTGCCTGGATATCCTGATACAACTATTTTTTAACTTTGCAAGTATACCAGTCAGTTGACACTACATTACCAATGCTGATGAATTTGTATTTCACAGGAAAACTTGAATGGCATTCAAGAGGTTAAGAGACACAATACAGATTTAGCAAGAGCAAGCATTCAGGTTACAATTCACCACGTGTCTTTGAGTGAACCACTTTCATTTCATAAGTATTCAGATATTATACACAATATCCATACAATATTCAGATTGCATCCATAGGAAAGGCCTAGTCCCTGTTCTGCAGAAAAGGTGTGAGAAAACATGGAAAAGAACCAGAAGGCAGCCCTGTAGCCCAGTAAAAATGATTTTCAGAATACTAGGAGAAGTGACAGGTTTTGATCCATCCGTGCAGGATTTGTCTACACTTGTCTTGGCCTGAGCTGATTTCAGCTTGTTTTCTCTGTGACAGTAGTTGTCTAGCAGCCAGGGAACAGTTGCATAACTTGTTTCTGGTTAGCTCTGTGAATACCACATACAGGAAAGGTGTTGCTGATCTATGCTACAGAGGCTACTGTGTATCTTTAACTACAACAGTCAAGCAAAGATACTCAAACTCTAGTTGGGAAGCAGTAAAACAAGAGCAACTAAGTAGGGTATGTTAGCAACAGAAGAGAATATAACTCCATCTCAACCCAGAAATGAGGAGGAAACACTTATCTCCATCAACAACATACATCTCCTGAGAAACAACTTGGACACCAGCCAATGACTCTGCACATCCCATCTTCCTGTTCCTGTGGAAGACATGAACCATAGACATAAGACTTGTGGGGCATTGCAATGACAAACAAAACTCTAGAGAGATACTAGGAAGTATATGTCAGGAATTTTAATGTATTATTAGTGAGGCTTTTCCTGGTAATTTGGTCTTTCCAGTATTATTGTAACTGGGCTAATAATATGTTATATTCTAATTAGACTGTTACAACCTTACTTAGCCTAACAATGACTTCTTGACTTTCTATATAAAGTGTGCATTTCCTTTTTGGCCATAATAAGACTCTGAGTGCAACAAACTGGCAGAGACTATAAGCAGCTTTACTGCGAAAGCCTTTCTGTAGATGGCAGCCTGTAGAGATCACCAAAGACCAGGAATGCAGCTGACATCTGTTCCTGTGGTCCTGGCAAGCATCTTGCTTGTACTCTAGCCCCATTTTTGTAAGAACTGTTGGAGTTGGGGAATGGAGTTGCTCAAGCCCTCAAACCCATTTTTCATTACACAGATACTGACCAAATGTTACCAGACTTTAAAGCGTTAATGCCAAAGTGAGAGAGCATGTGGGGAATGCGGTCAGTGAAAGACCTGTGACAGGCAATGTGATAAGCTAGATCAGGAAATTCAGACTTCAGAAGGAAAGGCAATATATTAAAAGCTGACATAGGAGCCTGCTGAGTTAAAACACTGAGAAAGTAAAACTGTAGAAGAGACTGAAGCTGTAGAGCAACATTATGTGCAAAGCAAGGCATGGACACAGCTCTTGCCAAAGCACCCTCTCTTGATGGTGCTGACTTAGCGAATAGCGATCAATGGTTTGATTGAGATAGTGACACTTCCACAGAGAAGTATAAGGCTAAAAGTCCACATGTCTCTGATGCTGAGGTGCTGTCAGTGTTCAGAGGGAATCCTGTATCACCCATCACTACCTGGGTTACTGTAAAAACAGAAAGTGGACAAACAGAAGGGAAAAAAGGAGAAATCCTGGGAAAGGAGATCCCAGAATAATTAAGATTCTTCACCCGAAAAGCAGATCCTTTAAACAAAAATCCTCTGTATTAAATGACTTCTTAAGTTAGATGCTAACACTGATTTAATGATGACTGGTCAAGAGAATTCCTCTTAGGTATCTGTTACAGCTTTGCAGTAGTAAATGATCATTGTAAGTGGATACATCACATTGTATTACATATATTAGCACAGGACAAATGTAACAGTAGAAATGTATTTGGCGTGGGAAAAGTCGTCAACTTCTGCCCAGAGTCTTCTAAACAACAGAGACAGACAAGCCCCAAATTATGACCAGGTTGCATTTGAACAGTTGTTCTGTACGGCCTAGCCCTGGGACATTAAACAGCTATAAAGCAGGAAAGGGATCTTAAGAGGAGCTTAGACAGCATAGGGATCCACCCAAGACAGGGAATTATAACAATTGTGCTAGAAAAAGTCTGGAGGACTCTTTATTATATTTAGTTTTTATAGCCACTGTAAAAAACATGAAGGGCCAGAGATAAGTTCAAGAACAGAACAGAGTAAATCACTATCACATTAGACTCAGAACAGATTAGTATAATAATGCAAATGATAAAGGCCATAAATGATGATACTTGCATTGAAGGGGAGTTTAAATTAAATTAAAGTTCCATGCTTGGCATATTATAACCTAGCTTGAGCAACAGTGAATCAGATTTAGCAGTGAGAGCAACCATTGCTTGAGTAGGATCAGCAAAAGGGATCAAGCAAGCAAGGAATATTATGAGAAATGAGAAAAACAGATAATAGCACACTGGAATTAGTCCAACCTGTAACATTTGCTAACAGTGGACTGCAGCAGTGGAACTCTAGAAGGAAGGTAAGTATGAAGCAGGGGATTAGTAGAAGTATCCAGTGTTGTATAGACCTAGCATGTAGAAAAGCAAGGAAGGACAAAAAAAAGAATAGTACAAAAGAACAAGCAATCTGTTTCAACCACAAGGGTACCGTTCCTGCCAGGTTGCATTGATTTGGTTTAGCTAGTTTTGCTTTCTTTTTATTGTTGTATATGCATATATGAACTGGAAAAATATAATACTGAGGTTTTTTAGTCTATTACCATAGCTGAAGTTAAACTTAAGAATGTCACATCGATCGATGAATAATGGGGAAAAAAATTGAACAAATTGCAAGGTGTTCCCATCTCCAAGTAAGGGAAACCACATTTCTCTCCATGAGGATATACATGCCTCCCATTAATAACAGCGATCATGATCACTAATATATTATGTTTGTATATGTAACATAAACATACGTGGATGTGATGCTGTTTATTTAAAAACCATAATAGTTTCAGTGCTAAAAAAACCCCCAAAGCTTAATCAGAAAGTATAGAAATAGTTACAGTGATAAATTGTGTTTTAGAAGAACGTACAATATTATGCATACATTTGCAACATTGGATCTGGGAAGACTGTGTATTTGTGTAGTGGTATATATGATGTCAGGGATATAAAACAGCTATGTAAAAGTGGATGCTTTTGAGCTAGATAGAAAACAGATCACGGTGGAAATCAGGAGTTCCTCATCTATGGAGATATCAAAAACTACATAAAAGTATGACATACAGTCATGTACTAATTTTATGAAAATTATATTTTATTATCAAGGAGCTAGCCAGATAATGTTAGAAATGTATAACACAATCATGCATTCATCAAGTGCTCACAAATTATTGTAAGTTTTCTCACTGTGTATAATTTATCTGATAATATACATGTATGTAAAGTAACACCTCCTGAAGGATGTGGTTTTAGCTACATCATACCAATAAAAGCAACACTCAGCTCACAGGAATCATTGCAATTGTATGCTATGTTAGGCTCAGTTCCCTTAGGAATTGCCAAGCAATTTTCAACAATTTACAAACAATTGCCAGAAATGCTAGGGCATCCCTCTCTTACACCTGAAGTATGACATGTGGTACAGAAACCACAAAGGGAGAGGTTACTGTACACCAAACATATCACCAAGTAACACACATTGCTACCACAGTCCAAAATGCAGTGTACCAGGCATGGGTGGAAGTGCCTCTCAGAGTGATCTTCCTCAACTAGAAGAGTTTGGAACTTGGCTTTATATCTTAGAATTGTCATTTTAATCATTATAGTGATTTTTCTTAGCTATAAAAATCAAAGTATGTTATGGATATACATAACAATGAAGAACTACAGATTACTTTCAAACCTGGACAAGTTATCATGAGGTAAGATCAGAGAGAAAAGAGAAAACATCCCTGGGATCTGCTGTCTCATCCTGATCAGTAGCCTCAAGATGTCGAGGGGTTGCAACATTCATTTCTGACTTGTTAAAAGTGTCTGTGACTCACAAAAGGAAGGATTGTAGCCCTGTAGCCCCATAAATATGATTTTGCCATTTCTAGCATGCTAATAGAACAAAGATATCATATCAGGCAACTAAATCTCACATCCAAATTGAAGAAGCAGTTATGGTCTTTTTAAGTGCCAAATTGTGTAACACTGAATAATGTACAGGAAATTAAAGTTTTCCGAAAAAATACTGTATCTTGACTTTCTCTTGTGTAGAGCTATGTTATCTTCCCATATTGGACCTTCAGCGGTGAGAACTGCAGGCTCATTTAAGTGCACAGGAATGATTATCACATCTTCACCTGAAGTAGTAATATCAGCCTTTTGCCTGCTGCACGATCTAGTTGCCAGACTGGTAAAAACCCCTTCATTTTACCTGTGGTTTGCACAACTCTTAGACTCTACAGCTACTTAAAGTCTGCAAGCTGCTTGTTTTAATAGCTCTAAGGGGCAGTGCATCAGCATGCACAAAGGCACATCGATTTTGTACCTTCATCTTAAAAGACGAGAGACACAATCCTGAAATTTTCCTGGACTTTAATCACAAATAGAATCACAATGCATTGATTGATCACAATTCAGGTCAACGATTTTACACTGTAAAGTGGTGTAAACCTTCCAAGATGCTATTCACTTTACAATATCTTATATAGCCAGAAGGACTGCACTCTTCTTGCAAATCCACTTGTACAGGGAGTGGCAGTTATCAGCATGCATTTCTGTCAACTTATAGGCAGCACATTTTTCTTCTTTCTTCCTCCCTTTTATTGTAAAACTGCAAGAAAGAACACACAGATATGAAAATCATTGGAAAAAAATTGTTTGCATAGACAAAGAATGAAAACAAAAAAACTGGATTTATTTGTCTTTACACTGTCATTATTTTGATTCTCTGACATACAGAAAGGTTTTGTTTGTTTAGTAGCCTTCATCCTTTCTCTGTTTCACTACTTGTTATGCATCTGGAAGTAAAAAGCTTACACAACATAAGCAACTCCTAATAAAATTAGTTCCTTTTCTGAAAGCTGTCAAAGAACTTCACTTTTCAACTGCATATTTTGATAAGAAATCTGTATTGAGAAAAATCAGAATAGGCTGAGCTGCCTAACTGGAGTATGGGCTGTGGCATCTTACTACTACTTTCTCATGGTCTAATGCTGAACAGCTCAGGCACAGAAAGTGAAGAACACGTCATGGAAGCCAACACAGATTTAGTCCAGAATGAGCCTACCTGTGCCCTGGATGTTTGGGATCATTGAGCCACACCCATCTTCCTTCCTTCTCATTGAAGCTTAATCCAGTCCAAACAAAGCCAGTATCTTTATCCTTCAGTTTGTTCAAGAAATCCTAGAGAGAGACATGTCTTTAAACTCTCATGATAATGACACTTCATAAAACTCCAGCACCAGTAACATACAGTGTTAATTTATATTTTAAAAACAGCAGGGCTTTCATGCACAAAGACTCCAGAGGATTCTTGCAAGAAATTGAGAAGAAGGAAAAAAACACCAAACATGAAAATTAGAAATTAATTCTCTACTAACCAATACTGTGGCTAACAATGTTAAGCAGTGCAACCAAGGAGCTAATCTATGGCTCCTCGATGGCCCCAGGCCCATTCCATTAGCACATTTCAGATGAGGATCAGGTTGATCTGAATTATAAGAGCTGAAGCTACTTCCTCTTTTTCCCCCCTTGCAAGGAAGAGAGGTGATCATTTTGCCAGCTCACCCTCCTGGATACTCTAGAAGTGACTGTCTGAACCTAGTCACCTATAAGCAAATTTGGCAGCACAGAAGAGACACACTACAGGTTAGGGTTTAGTCTACAGAACTGTTTCTCCATTGCTGCAGACCTGGTACTGACATTTAAAAATGTACAAAGTACAGAGAAACAGCTCCATCCCTCCAAGAAAAGCAACAGCCTTTATGACAGCTTAGTTCTGAAGAGGTTTGATTTGGAATAAAACATGCAAGAATCTTTCAAACACCAGCTACTTCTTGCTAGAGATAATCTCTAGGTATATCGCTGCATCTATTTAAATGAAATGTAGGCTATTTGTGTTCTGTTTGACTCAAATAATAGAATTATTTGGTTGAAAAAACCTTTAAGATCATCAAGTCCAACCATAACCTGTCCACTACTAAACCATGTCTCTAAGCACTTAATCTACCTGTCTTTTAAATACCTCGATGGATGGTGACTCAACCACTGCCCTGGGCAGCTTTTTCCAATGTCTGATAACCCTTTCAGTGAAGAAATTTTTCCTAATATCTAATCTAAACCTCCCGTGCAACAACATGAGGCCATTTCTACTGAGAAGCCAATCATCAGCGCACTTTAAACTGACAATGCCTTTCATGAGTGCATCTGAATTAGAAATGGCTTCTAAAAGTACATGGAAAGGTGTACTTTGATATGTGGATTCACAAAGTATAAGTAAAAAGAGTACTTGAACCACAGAGTGCCTTACAAGCTTACCATTTCAGTCTCATCCTCTATAATCAGGAGCTCAGATCTTTTTCCTGAGCAATACTTCCTACTATTCTCCCAGGTGTCACGCATTTCTGAGTAGAAATAACATCTCCCATAAAGCAGCTTCCAGCCAATGGGACAGAGTTCACATCTGGAGTCTGTGGAGAGTTTAAGGTGAAGCGATTTTGTCACTTCCTTTTTTTTTTACAACTGATATGATTATTATTGGCTTCTGCTTTTTCTGAGGCTTTTGAATAAGAAAGTAAATAAGCTTTAAACCAAGGCCAAAATTGTGATGGTATAGCTTTTAAGAAAACACATTGTCCTTGCTTTACAGTGGTAATAAGGACAGTCCTTCTTTGATTAGGGATCACTTGATGCTTTTAAATATTTCAGAATCAAGATAATTGTACTAAATATTTCACATAATATTTGGGGTGAAAGCCATAGAAAAAAAACCTCAGCTTTGCTGCAATCAGAATCCAATGGCATCCATGGAGAAACAACAGATACATTAATTAATACTGCTCCACTTTTATTTTCTGTTTAAACTAAAATTTTTGAGGATGGAACACTAAAATAGTTCACTTTATACATCTTTATGACTAGAAGCATGCTTATTCTGGTAGGTAAAGGTCAGTAACTTTGTGTAGGTGTTTAATTTTATATTAATCTTTTCAAGATCTTCAAACCATTTATGCTACTATGAGCGAGACTTTACTTCCTTACCATTTGTATGCACGCATAAGCTTTCCTTTAAAGTAGTCAGTAAGCTGTTTTCAGAAAGATCTTCCTCAACGATATTGTCGCTTTCAGAAACATTTTCTCTGGTATTCCACCTGTCACTTGATAGCAAGTCACCTGGACAAGAATCTCCAACATTTTAATGTAAAGCTTACAAGTGAACTGTATAGAAACCTCATAGTATTTATCCATGGATAATAAAGGGAGCTTTAAGTGGAAATTGAAACTGCTCAGTCATCCTTCCAGTAAATTGTAAGTGGACACTAGAGCATGCACTTCACAATGACAGAGTCCACTATCATCCTGCTTTTGACAACATGGTCTGCAACCTTGAAGTTATCCTTCAAATGACATGGCTGTGCCTTTGATTTTCCAGTTCCTGAAGTTTGTATTGAGCTTATTTCAGAAAAAAATGGGTTGATGTGAAAGGGCAGGACTCACATCCAGAGAAAGGGAGACCAGCTAGCTCTGCAGGATACTTATGCCCAGAAGTGCTTCTGAATTCTCATTTTCTCTTGAGTTCTCAAGTGGGTTTGATGTGCAAAGTGATTTTGTTGTCCAGAAGTAGGCTGGACATTGGGACTACCAAACAAAGATTTTCTAAAGGAGGAAACTAAAATTAGATTCCTTGATCAATATTCAGATGCTTGTTGATGGTAACCTAAAAACTTGTTGAACATGCTTGGCCAGGATTACTGCAAGTGTTTCTCTCTGAGTTTAGCTGCTCAGGGTTAATGGGACACATCTGTGCTGGACAGGTAAGTTTTGTGTGCACATGATCAATGCTGACAGTGACCCAGTGCTTATGCACAAATTCTGTGCACAATGCAAAGTCCACTTTTAGAGTCCCACATTTCTCCATATACCTGGAGTGAGTTCTGTTTCATTACTAAATGAGTTTTTCCAAACTGATGGATGGATTCTTGGTGGTTTCTTCAGTTTTGGAAAGGGAGAGGAAGGAGAGAAACTCAATAGTAGAAAGCATGTGTTCTTGTCACCTTATCAAAACAGTTTGCAAAACCTGTTTAAGTTATGAATTAATTAAAGCAAAACATTCGCTGGCAGGAATTAAAGCAAAACATTTCACTTGGTCACTCACATTTCTGAGTTAATGTGATCACAGCTCCCAGAAATACAACATTCAGAAATCCTGAGAGAGCAGCAAGATACCGCAAGCCTGAAGAATTAGAGGGAAGTTCTGCAAGAAATAAGAGGGTTTTATGAACACAACATTAGATGCTACCCAGAACATAAATCTGAGCTTCTCTAGACATCTTTCAGACAGAACGTCCAACTCTGTCACTTTGCAATGCGCATTGTCGCATTTGCTTTTTCCCTTCTGGTTTCCTCCTGCATATCAAGTGGTTCTTGCTTCTAATAAACTTTTATTTAGGAAAACTTCTGGGAGGCTTGAATTTTCCCATGCTGTCTTCACTGTTTGCCACTTCATTTGAGGTTTTGAGAGGCACAGCTACTGAACAGTTTCACTTCATTTGAGGTTTTGTTAGGCACAGCTACTGAACAGTTTCTGCTTCCTTGTAGCAGGGGGTTGTCACTTGCAGATATCATGAAGACTGTTAGATGTAACAGCAAGAACTTAACAAACATTGCTAAAGAAAACCTCACAAACTTAGTAAAAAGGAAGAACTGAAGTTTCTAACAGTTTCAAAGAAAGAGATGTATATAACAAGTAAGAACAAAAATTAGGTTATAGAGCTATGAATACCAACATTATCAATCAAGAAAGGACCAGTAGATTCTCTGAAAATTGAACTCCAGGACCCACTAGTTATAGTTACTGTAGGCTGCAGTACCACAAAGCTCTTTAAAATAACTGAGGCATAAAAGATGTTCTATGACACTCAAAGGAACAGGGAGGAGAATAGAAGTTGCCCAGCTATGCAGGAAATGTCATGTTAATTTTTATTCCCAGCTTTCTAATAGTAGTGATTTCAGAAAAAAGCTTTGTGAATGTTCTTCTAGAAAGACCAAGGCATAATGCGCTGTTCACTTCGTCCAAACTTAACTTCATGGGGAAAAAAGACTTTACATGTGAACCTTCTGTGAGTTAGGGCTCAGGAATAAAATCAGAGAATAACAGAAGGATTATTTTCCTTTTCATGGAAATGTCTATTCTTGGAAGAGAAAACAGAGTGCCAAAATGTTATACCTGGTAGAGAACTTATTCTCTAAGCAGGAAATAAGATCGGGAAGTAACCCATGGAAGTATCCTTTAAAAGCCATTGCATTTGAAGTGCTGGTGGTGCAGATCAGATGTGAATCAGCTGCTTCTACACTTTGGTTTAAAAAATGCAATGTGTGGAGCTGTATTTCAAATCATGTCATGATTTGAACTTTGTGCTGCATGATAAACTCATTTCCATTAACACTCCAGGTCTCGTTTCTAGCTATCAGTGTTTTGCACAGAAGTCAAACATCTTTTTTCCTCATTTGTCTATTCAATCATACTTTCATGGGGAATGCTGTGACTGTGACTAGACATCTTTAAATATTCAAACAGCTAATCCCCACTGTTGTTATATTGCCACCCTGTTCTGATGGCAAATATATGTAAAGAGAATGCAGTACTTTTCACTAACTACGCAACATATTATGGTTAAGCATTTGTGTGCATTTTCCTTCTTACTGTGGGTACTACACCCTGATTTTGCCATAAAAAAAAGGTAATTAGAATATCTGGAGTCTAACCTTAACTCTGCCATGATTTGCACAAACGCTAGGCTGCAGGCAAAGCAGTAACAGTGACTTGTGTAAATACTTAAATGAGCACTCAGCTGCCCATGTTGAGCTCCAGTAGCAGCAATACCGCAGCGCTGACAACACAGCACAGGCTGACAGCTCAGCCTTTGCCCAGCTCCTCAAGACAGCTCTGCAGCTTTCATCACTGGCAAGATTGGATGGGACTGCAAGGGGAGCTCTGGACTGTGGCCTTCCCTCTGTGCTACATCAACTGGCACGGGTATTGCCCTAGGTTATGCCAATGAGGCACTGCAACCATTTCTGACCACTCTGACCACCAGAGGTGAACACACTTCTATATTCCACATTGTACATCATGCTACTATGAGTAATCTGTGTCTAAAGCTACCTCACACTACTTTCACTACAAGTAGAGGCTCAGCTTGCAGTGCATTGCCTAACAAGCTAAATGAAAGCACTGTTCTCTTTAGCTGCTTACCTGAAATCTTTCTGCTGCCCTGCCGTATCATGCTACCCAATCATGCAGGTAGACAATGAAGATAAAGCATTTTAAACCCAGCTTTGTGGGTTGAAAATGTGGTCACTATTCTGTGTATGCTTTGTCTGACTTTTTGTTCTTTTAAATTGAAATATTCAGTCATCACAGCAATGCTTTTGTGCACTTTGACAAATATTTTAAAGACCATTGAAAATTCTTAGTTAAAGAAAAATTTGCTTTTATGATCACTTTTCTGATTTTTTTTTCTTGATTTTGCTGTTTCTGTGCTTTTACTGCATTTGGGAACAGGTTCTCAGCTAAGTTGTTGTATAATAGGCAAATCGGCACAATTTACATCAATAAAAATGCACCCAATTTATGAGTAGCTGAAGTTGGCTTTTGCTGTTTTTCTATTAAAAATTGTTCTTACATAAATGTGCAGCCAGGATTTCTCAGGAACTGATCATCATAACTGATTAACTGTTTGGAAACTGGTTATCTAATTGCTCTGAGAACTTGGTATTTATGATCTGAGAAGCAATTCCATGGGACATTTAAGATAAATAAATATTAGCAAGGATAAGCATGAAATCCTTCCAGCACATATTTTTATACTTTCTCTCTTGTCTCCTGACACTTTTGACAAAATCCCCAGAAGCTGTTGAAAAAGGATAGTTACTGGACAGTAAGTTGCTGTCTTACATTTTTCATTTAAATTTTTCTTATCTTCTTCTTAGCTGTGATTCCTAAAAACAAAAGTAAAACAAAAAAATCCAACCAAAAACCCTGTAGAAAAATTAAATTTAGTTAATGAGCCATCAACCACTGCCAGACTTGCTGCCAACTGTGCCTGATGTTTCCCTTATATGCCTCTGTCTCCTAGTCTCCATTTTGTACTGGAACTGTTGGCATCTGTACTCAAAGTCTTGTGGTAATATTAATACTGCATTTTATCTACTATCCACCATATTTCTCTCTATACTGCCATAAATCATTGGCAAATTAAGTAACACCAACTCAAATTTGGGCAGATTTGGGTTTTTTTTTTGGTAACTCAAATATAGCCAAATATAGCTGAAGAGATTTGTTATTTACAAAAGTCTGAAGGCCTAGCATAAATGCTTATGTGCTCACCTGCTTTGACACTTTTCTTCCTTGCTTTGAAATGAAGTTCTGTGTAACCCTCTTCATTCTCCATCTCAAGGTCTTTCTATCAGTTCTTTCTATTGAAGACTCTTTCACTGTTAGTGTCAAACTAAGTTACGGGAAATGCTTCAAAATGAGTGTGATAAACAGGAAGGGGGCAGCAGATGGTCATTTGTGCTTTTAGCTGAGGCGAGGCAGTAGCAGGACTTTGAAAACAAACTTAACAATATAAACTGCACAGACAAGTGAGCAATTTTCTGTATTCTTTTTCACTTCCTCTGTCTTTCTCTGAAAACCTCCAGGCTCTTCTCAGGTACTTCTTAACACTGCATTTTCTCCAGTGCAGTATCACAGCCATTAAATGCAGTCTTTCAATGCACGCACACTCTTACACATGAGAGAACAGGTTTGAGCCTCTCAAGCCCATTTCGCTGGAGTGATGGCCTTTTCTTACTTCTTTTACATTAAAATAACTCCTGTATTTTTCTCAAATGCTGGGAATTGCTCCTTGCTTTGCCAAAAGAAGATTGTGTGCATATGTTTCATTAAATAGCTGGAAAGAGCATTTAAATACACATATTAATCTTTGGTTCTGCTTTGTACCTTGTCCACTTGAGCAGCTGTTCATAGATTTGAGCAACTTAAAGCCATTCTTCAAATGAGGACTTGTGTGACTCCTGAAGCAAATCTGTTCAAACCTCACAGTTTGCAATGTTTCAGTTGCACTTCAAAAGGACAAAACTGAGCATTTTGTACCAGCTTTTTTATCAGCTGTTCGCTTTTAAATTACTGTGCAATGTCTCTTCCAAACTGGGGATTCTGTCAAGTTCTTGGTGCTTTTTTAAGTGCTAGCCTGGAATATTTCTTTCTGCAAATTAAGGATTCAGTAGAAAGTTGAAAGTTGTTTTTTCTCTGAAATGGTTATAATGAATTCTGGCTGTTGTCTAATTCACCAGGTTTCACCAAGGTTTTCTTTGGGTCAGGACTACATCCTGGCTTCACCTTTAATATGTCTGTATAGTGTCTAGTAGTGAGATACATCATGGGAAAGGTCATCATGCCATTATCTGTAGTATGCCATTAAATACTTAGTGCCCTAAGAACTTATCTCAGTTTGGAGGAATATAAATGCATCCAGAGCACTAGACAGAAATTATTCACTATTTCTTAAACAACCTGCTCTGATTACTAGGAATGGTCATTTCAGCTTGGAAACAAAAGTAACTTTACCTCAGCTTTTATATTGTGTTTCATACCTGAAAGCCAAGGTTAAGCTGTATGCAGCACAATCACACACTGGGGAGAGAAAAAAAAAGAAGTGATCTCCAGAGAACTCTTTCAAAGACAAACATACTAGCTGAGGCTAACAGATAAGTATGAAACAAAAGGTGCTGAGTGACCAACAAGTGCATTCTGTTTCTACAAGGTGATAGCACTTACCATGCAACATCACAATGCTATGTAAGTTTCCTGTACGCAGTGCAGACAAACCCTTGCAGTGTTACCAGCTTTCTGAATTGTTTTTTCCGACGATACTGGGAAGGTAAAGTTTGAATATGGAGTTTTTAACTGCTTCTATAACAGCCCTGGATGTTTTATATGCTCTGAGCTATAGCTTTTATGTTCACCAGGTGCGACAGCCAGTCAAATAAAAGACACAAGAACTCCGAACAAGTCTTGCTTCACTTAAACACTTAGATTGTTCTGCACCCATCCCCAGAGTGAATATGTAGGACTTCCATGACCCACGCTGGAGCACGTTTATACTGAAGGACTGCAGCCCATGGAGGACCAATGCTGGAGCAGGGAACAGCGTGAGGAGAAAGGTGCAGCAGAGAGGAGCTGCTATGGACAGGCCCCTAAACCCTCTGCCCCTGTGCCACTCAGAGTGGTGGATGATGAGGGTAGTGGACAAACTAAAGCAGTGAAGTTGAGCCTGGGAAGAGGGAGCAGGAGGAAGGTGTTGCTTTAATCTCTGTTTTTATTTCTCACTATCCAAATTTATTTTAATTTGTGATAAATAATTAACTTTCCCCAAGTCGAGTCTGCTTTGCCCATGATGGTAACTGGTAAGTGATCTCTGCCCTTATCATGACCCATAAGCTTTTTCATCTTATTTTCTCCCCTGTCCTGTTGAGGAGTTAGTCTATGCTTTTTTTCTTTTTTCTTTTTTAAAATGTATTTTGCTAAATAGTGTAAAGCTCTAGTAAATTAAAAGCAGTGGATGCTGTGGCTGTCTCAGGAAGCTCTTAAAAAGATTAGCAAGAGACCACCCATAGGAACAATGACAAAAATTGACTCCTAGGTGGATTATCCTCCTGCAGAGGAACAAACCTGTTTTTAAATGTCATGTAACTGATAAACAAATGTCTGAATATTATAGTCTTTCATTTCACTTGTACTAAATCCCCTTTACATGCTCAAATTAGTTTTTAAAAAGTTAAAAATAACACCCCACCCTCCCCCCAAAAATTAACCAAGCAACTGATGAATATATGCAGTACACATCCAACAGCGATACAGACAACTAACATGCATACTAAATCCTATGCAGCAGTAAAGCATTAATCTTTGAGCAGTCCTTCTTCTTACAGTATTTTCAAGGATCAGAGTACATCTTTCTATCAAGGATGGTGTTATTAATAATTTTGTGTACTGCAGCAATGTTGTCCTGGAAGAGTGAGTACCACACAAATACATGACAAGATGGTGATTTTACTGTGTTAAAGCTTATTAGCTACTTCTACAGAAAGATATGCCAAAGAGATGGATACAGAAGGAAAATGGAGGAGCATGGAGGACACTAGAAGGGTAAACCAATAATGCTGTGCATGATGGGTGGTGATCTCATAGCAATATCTGCTAAGCTATAACCAAGGTTTCAGTTCTACACTAGTAGAGGAGGGCTTTGGGAAAGTACCAGAGGAAAGTCAAGGAGTAAGATATTTACAGGCAGTGTCGTCCAGCTATGGCAGAAGTGGAGGAAAAAAGCACAGAGCTATTTCTTAAATAAGCTAGCAAGTGAAATTAAGCTGAAGGTAGTTTGTGGGTTTGCACTACAGCCTGATACCAGTGTTGCAGGGATGAAGGTAAGAGACAGTCACAGACTTTGAAAAGGTAAATCACTGTCTCAACAGAAGGATGCAGCATGCACCTTGGCCCCAAACACCAAGCCAGGGCTGCAATCCAGGAAAGTGCAGGCATGCTTATATTTAAAAACTAGTGTCCATGTGGAATTTTTTTAGTATGCGTGTACTTACAGTTGATGTGCATAGTACTTTACAAGGTCACAAACCTAGCTGCTCTTCTTTTCGCACGCTCAGAGAACTGGCTTAATTTTTCTTTCATCTTGCTTCTTGCTTCTCAAACAGACTGCACACTTTATTTCAGCAGAAAAAAAAACTTCATAGTCATGCATATATAAAATGCTATATCATTTCCTTTTCTTTTGTGAAGTCCAGTATATGCTTCTAACTGAAAACAAGAGCTTTTAAATTTAATTCTGGGAAAGGCAAACAAGCATGCTTTCTTGGCAAATTAGTGTTGGGAACCCAAGTCAAAACCACTTTTATTTCCCATTATTTTGAAGGATGTTTATATTCCTTTTACTGAGATGACAGATCCAGAGGATGCTTGCAGAGCTAAACAACCAGGCAAGAAAGGCTATGAACAGCAAGAAACCAACCTACAAAAATGTAGGTGTTGAAATGAAGCAAAAGGAGAGAAGCATAAATACTATGAAGTTGAATATGAAAACACAATAAAGCAAAATAAGAAAGTGACTGAGAAGAAACATGAAAATAATGAAAATGTCCTTCTTCAGGAGCAGGAAACCTTCCAAAAGGTATGCAAGGCAACAGATTATCACCTTACAGATAGTAAGGGGAAAAAAAATTGGTTCTTTTTTGCATGTTTTTGCTGTGAAAGAACTCGGGGAGGTTCCCATACTAGAATCTTCTTTATGAGCAACACCAAAGGCTGTGTCTCAATTCAGAAGACCAGTGCAAGAGGCTATGAAATGAACAGGCAAAATTAATAGGCCCAAAAGGCCAAATTCAGATGCTATTTATCCAAGGCTTCCAAGGGAACTTGGCAAACACACAGCCAAGCTGCTAACAGTGATACGTAACTTTCTTAGGAATTTCCTGATGTCAGAAAGGTGAGTCTAGTTTATAAGGGTCTCAAAAGGGATCTGGAGTACCTCCAATCAGTAAATCTGATCTTTATACTAGAAAAAACCCCACCCAAAACCCCATATTCAAATAATGAAAATAATTTTTCATGATGTGGCTAAATATGTTCACTAGTGAAAGATACTTAGAGAGAAATCATGTGTCACACTTCCAAAGGAATTCTTGAAGAACAATTCTGAATTTCAAAAGTTCAGTCATTTTCTCTCTGCAAAGGAAAATTTCTATAGCATGAGATTTTAGTGGTGATCAGGTTCAACTTGAAAATACATGACATCTTCCAATAATTTAAACCAATTTCATTATGAAAATTAACATAGTATCAACTTTCAGTTTTCTGTCTCATTTTCTCCATTTGCAAATGGTCCAAAATCCACTGCATACACTATCTTCTTTAAATGAAAAATTATAGACCTGCTCTTGGAGTATTTTGGCCTCCACTAGGAAAACAATGAAACACTCTTCCAATCCAGACCTTTGGAGTTATAATTACGCTTTTTGTCTTGATCTACTTTTTTCTGTGCCTGCGCTCCAAGGTACTGACTTTCAGTACAATGTTCTTGAGTCCACAACACCTAATACAGGAATTTTTTTCCATAATGAAAGCACATGAATTTTTTAAACATTATCCATTATGTACTTTCCTTAACACACTACACTTGCAAAAGAAGAATCTAATTTTTAAATCCTTCCTCTTGCGCAGGGAAATTACCTATGAAAAGAGAACTGAGTGCTGTCTGCCAGGGCAGGTCTGCCTGCTTTCCAAATAAAGTGTTGATTAAATAAGTTTGCGTGACACTACAGCTGTATAATAGATACAGTATATTAATTCTATTAATTCTATTAATTTGGATTTCCTATT